TTTTTTTCAAATGCTTTCCTGAAAGATTCTAAAATCTGCTCAGATTACCTCCTTAGAGAAATCTAAGGACTGATGTGTTCACATTTAAAGGTTATGCACATTTTACACACAGAGGAAAAAAAACTCAATCGATGAGAAAATAAAAGAACAAAACTTCTTTGCAGACTATTTTATATTCTTTCAAAAACCAATATTTCATATGATTATGAAGAACATGAAGATAATTATATTTCTTCAAAATTTACATCCTAAATTATATAATTCCCTAATTCAACTTAGAAAATGGCTCCATACACTTATTATAAAAGCACTGAAAACAGACTGACTTTTGAATTAAAATTTATGCAAGAGAAAATGTAATTTTAACTTGAACTTGAGCTGGCATTCACATTAAATGCAAAAACCTTCAAATGAACACATTCAATCATAATAAGAATTTAATTTTTCATTCACTTATATTACTAAAATTGTCTGAGCTACCACCTTAAGGCTAATATTTTATAAAATCTAAAACCCCTCCAATTCAAAAATAAAAGTTCTTACATAAGATGGCTGATTTTGTATTTCTAAATTACTGAATTAGAGTGCCCTCTATTGGAAAAGATAAAGCAGTAAAAGCTAAACTGAACTAAGAATTAATATACCCCTGAATTTCAAGCTACATTGTTAATACATAAAACACATTTATTAAAGATAAGAATGCTACAAAACCTATTTTGCTCAATTTTGATTTCTTCAAATTACTTGTGGAATTGTCATATTACAATTGACAATAACAATTGAACAAGGTAGATGTTTCACATCATCTCAATTTAAATTTAACTGAACCCAAATGTCAATCCCTCTATCATTAATGTAATAAACAAACAAAAATGTTCTTCTATGTTCAACATTCTAATATAATACAGAGGTAAATGTAATTTAGGACTGTAGTTACACTACAGTTTGAATTTTCCTTAATGATAAACTGAAAACTTCCCTAATTCAAGATACATTTATAAACTTTTACACTGGGGAGAACATTAGAAGATCCTTGAGATTTATTCTAGCACTAAAATTCTGCAATTCTGTGGTATCAGCAAGATCAGCTTAGACTCATCAACTCAGGCCCGAATGACCTGAGGAAGGTCCTGGCAAAATGCTGGTCATCTAGACCAATAAAGTGCATCTTAGAGTGAGCTTTTTAGAAAGGATAATGCTCAGAGGTACTCAAGGAAATTCTGATTTATTTGGTCTGCCATGGTACCTCAGAGTATCTGTATTTTTAGGGGAGTCTTTCCTTATAAAGCCAATGCATATTCATTGCCAAGAGTCAAGTGTTTGAAGGTCTCCCCAGTACGCCTAACAAAATGATCATATTCATGACAGAGTTTATTCTCCTCAAAATCAAAATTAAGCTTCTGACTAGCTTCATAAATCTAATTATCTGTCCCTGTTCTTTGACAAAATTGATCTTGGACTGGTACTTTGCAAACTTATGAAAGTCATAAAAGTTCCCTAAACCTCTATTTTTTTCACCTGTGAATGGGGGGAATAACACTACCACTTTCGTAGGGTTATTGTGGGGATTAAATCAAGTAAAATAAATAGTGTTCCATAAGTTTTAAATATCATCATAACTTTTTCCTTACTAACTTTCCCAAACCAATTTTCATGGTAAACCATTCTCCTCAGATTATATGCCACGTCTCACCTTCAGGCTTTTGCACACACTTTTTCTGCAGGTTGGAATCTTCTTCCCTAAATCCCTTTTATTCATTCATTCATTCATTCATTCATTCATCCCAATTCAAGTGCAAAAAGCAAAGCATATCTTTTCTCCTCCAGGGCCCAGTTTCATGTCTCTACTCCATGAAAGTCATCAATGAATACTTAATAAATTTTCACTAATTAAAAAAATTTCAATGATGGTGTCACTTAAGTGCAGAATATAGAGAAACCAAGCAAATAGTCAAAGGCAAACTTTAAGACCAAACCTTGAAAACTGGTCCATGAACTGAGGCACCCAAGGGTCACAGGGGAGAAGGAAGGTGAGAACCGGGTGGGGAGGGAGCACAGTAGACTGTAGTGGAAGATTATGGAAGCTACAGTGGTGAGACATCTATGATAATTATACCTGAGGGGGAAAATCCTATACTTTCAAAACATTAATAAGGATGTCAACTGATGGTACTTCAATAATAGAATTTTACTTTAATTCCTTGGCCATTGGTAGCTTATGATAAATTAGTGAGGAATTAAAACAATGACTAAGTTTGAAGCCTAGATTTGCCACTTGCCAGGTAAGTCATTTCCCAAAACTCCATCTGTTGTGGAAGACTAAATGGCTTAAGTCATATAAAACATTAGAATTGAAAATAACAAGCACCTCCTAAATGTCAGTTCATATACTTGTAGTTTTATGCTAGCTGTCTGCACACTGTGATTAAAGACTTCTTGGAACAAGAATTTTGAACTCCCTGGAGTAAGGAAATGCATCTCATTACTGCTATCATAAATCCTACAGTTGACAATATGTACCAACCATCTGCACTAGGTGATCTAGAAGTACATGATTAAGTATTTTGCATAATTTGAGAGTACAATTCAGAACAGAACTCTGGAAAAACAGTGATGAATGGAAACAAATACTCAACATAACAGGAGTGAACCCAAGTAAAACAGAAGTTATAGAAAAAGGTCAAAGGTATTGCATTAAGCTTTAAACATTTGGTAACAAATTTCTACTAATTTTACCTTCTGACAGGCCACATCCAATGATGAGTTTTACCTGCCCAGAATATTTTAAATTTTTCTCACTTCAAAAAATAAATAAATATGAAACTTCTCAGCCTGACATTCATGGCTTGACCTCAGCCTATCTTTTTAATCTTATCTCCCATGCTTCCCCTTTTTAAATTATTATTCCAGATTAATATTACTATTTGCTCTAACATCTATGCTTTGCTTTTCTGCCTCATAGAACTTAAATATTTAATAGAGCAATAGCTCACAAAACATAATATAAAGGTTTGTCCCAAGACAGAATCCAGTGATTGCTTTTGTGAAAGTATAAGCTTGAGTTCACTTAATGCAATTTCTGAGTATTAACTCTTACTACTACAATATTCTTAGAAAAGTAATAAATATAAATATATAACATATATAAATGCCTTTGGGATGTTTGCTCAGGACCTGTTTATTTAATGATACTTAAAACAAGAGATGTTTAGAAACCACTGGTCTAGAAAATTAAGACATTCAGGAAATACATGGGTTTTGAAGTAGCCAATTTAGAGAAACTGTTAAAGACAGATCTAAAAATCTAAATACCACATACTGCTTATGTAGGATAAATATGTTCTCATTTCTAACCAACTTTCAAGGAGCTGTTGAAATGAAACTTTGGTAATCTAGAGAAAGCATATACCTGGTTAAGATTTTTAAATTGGGAACTATATCCTAACATTTTATTTCATTAACATAAAATTTTCATTTGAGAAAAACCTACAGTTAATTCACTGTGCACACACACACAAAATTAGTTATAATTTTTCATAAAGAGCTGTTGTTGGAACCAATGTGATGTTTTACAAAAGAGAGTACAGCAAACAAACAAAAACAGGCATAGGCAGAAAGGCCCAGCCATGGAACTAGACTAGCAAATACGAGCCCAGGAAATGTGGTGTTACATCTCACATTAAGCAACTGAATCAAGTTATATATTCTCATTATAGTCACTATACTTGGCTATATATATTTAGTTTTCATAAATGATATGACATACTTAACACAATTCACTCTATTATTGGCTTTTGCAGAAAGTTTCTACAACAAATAAAGTTTTAAAAATAATTAAAGGTTTCAAAAGAGCACCTGCACCCCTATGTTTATGGCAGCACTGTTTACAATAGCTAAGCTTTGGAAACAACCCAAATGCCCAAAAATAGATGACTGGATCAAGAAGATGTGGTACATATACACCATGGAATATTACTCAGCATTCAAAAAAAGATAAACTCATGCAATTTGTAGCAACATGGATGGAGCCGATCATGTTCTGAGAAATAAGCCAGAAAGAAAAAGAAAAATAATGGTTGTTCTCACTCATAGCAGGAATCTAGAAAACTTAAATAAGGGACCAGGAAAAAGAATAACTACAAGAAAGAAAAAATCAAAATCAACAAACAACTATGAACCAGAGACAGACTATGGGGCGGGGGGAGGCGGGGAAAGGAGGGATGGGGGGCAAAATAAGGGAGTTGCAATTGTATGGGGAATATAAAAATATATACATTTTATAAAAATAAAATTTAAAAATAAATAAATGAATGAAAATTAAAAAATAATTAAAGGTTTCATATCAAAATAATGTATCTACTTTAATACCATGCCTCCTACAAATCCTTCCTCAACAGGATACAAGTCTTAATTTTAAAGTGATTGACTATACGTTTTTTCTTGTGTTGTGTTAATGTAAAAACCCAAATGAGAAAGAATCTTGAACTCATAATTTATATACTGAACTTGTAGGTTGCAAGAAAATTGGGATTTGCACAAGATCATAAAAATATGCAGGTGTCACTTTCCACAAAGTCTCTCTCCTACTACAAATCATGGAGTGAGCAGAACTATACACACATGGCTCAGCTGTCTTTTACAGAGGTGGGGTTCACAGAGAAAAGGGAAAGAAGACAGAAGGAAGGTTTTCTTTTTGCTTTGCAAATCAATCATCATTATGCCCAATGAAACTGAAAGAAATGAATCACAGATTCTATGAATCCACGTGTTAACGAGATTCTCACAGTAGCAAGGTAACCTCAAGGAATAAGTAATTTATCAAAGCATTCCTTCTCGTACACATGCAGCGGTAATAAAACACCAATGATATCAGGGAAGAGCACAGGGTGCTGACATCTGCCACTGAATCTTTAGATAGGATAATGCACAACTCCCGAGCCTCTTAGGAACGCACTGAACTAGCAAAGACAGACGCAGGGTCTTCTTGCCCCCTTACTTACTACACTCTGGGTTCCATTTTTCCCAAGTTCTTCCTCTGAAATCTTGCTCAAATTATCTAAGTAGTGGTCTGATATTGTGTGGCACAAATCTTCAAAAGAATAATCTTTTTCTTGACAGAGCTTTATTTCATCCAAGAGTTTTGATAATTCTCCAGTCACAGTTTCACCTGTAAAAAGAGATTAAATTTTTGTAGCTGTTTCAAGCAAGGATACTGCTAAAGCTTGATGTCAAATACTAAAATTATGGTTAGTATGGTGATAGACCCCAAAATATGGCAAAGAAGGCACTAAATCACAATTCACACAAGAATTCTTAAAGACACAAATTCTTTTCCCTATTTTCCATCCTTTTTCAAAATATAAACATATATTGACGATTTACATGTTTGTAGTACATAAAATAAAATTATAATACAATCCTTAAAGCTTCCTTATTATGTTTAATTTTTAAATAACATTTTACTGCATTGTACTTCAGTATAGAATTCATTCAACATTTCATTAACGGAACCTAAACCATAGGTTTAATAAAAAGAAATTGTATCTGTGTCCTTTGGGTAAATACCTAGGAGTGGAATTGCTGGATCATATGGAAGCTCTATGTTTAGTAGGTCCAGAAATCTCCACACAGCTCTCCATAGTGGTTGGACCAGTTTGCACTCCCCCTAACAGTGCAGGAGAGTTCCTTTTTCTCCACAACCTCGCCAACATTTGTTGTTGCTAGTTTTTTTAATATGTGCCATTCTCACTGGTATAAATGGTATCTCATGGTAGTTTTGATTTGCATTTCCCTGATTACAAGTGATGTTGAACATTTTTTCATATGCCTGTTTTCCATTTACATTTCCTCTTCAGAGAAGTTTCTTTTTAATTCCAAAGAGTACCTGCACCCCTATGTTTATAGCAGCACTATTTACAATAGCTAAGCTTTGGAAACAACCCAAATGCCCAAGATGACTGGATCAAGAAGATGTGGTACATATACACCATGGAATATTACTCAGCATTCAAAAAAGATAAACACATGCAGTTTGCAGCAACATGAATGGCGCTAGAAGTGATCATCCTCAGCGAAATAAGCCAGAAAGAAAAAGAAAAATACCGGATGGTCTCACTCATAGCAGGAATCTAGAAAACTTAAATGAGGTAACAGGAAAAAGAATAACTATAAGAAAGAAAATATCAAAATCAACAAACAACTATGAACCAGAGACACTCTATGGGGGGTGGAGGTGGGGAAAGGAGGGCTTGGGGTCAAAAATAAGGGGATTGTAATTGTATGGGGAATATAAAAATAAAATTTAAATAAAAAAAGAAATTATAGCGCTTATTTAAACAAATAGCTACATTAAAAAGTTAATAAATTAGAAATATGTAATATAAAGGGAAAACAGAAGTAACAGAAATAATTTGCATCCTCTGTCAAAAATAATATTTTGTAGATTGCAAGCAAGTATGTATCTTTCTAATCATTCTCAGAAAAGTACTTTATTTTATTTTATTGTCTCTTCTGAACAAAAAATACTCTAATAGTTATCATCTGGATAGCTGTATTTTTATTCTGCATCAAAAATGCATTATAGAAAAAGACCTAGTATGAAACATCTATGCATGAACTCTTAAGGTTCATGAAAGCACAGAATGCTATCTGCTTTGCTTACTATTTCATTTCAGGGCCAAGAACAGTGCCTGACAAATAGCAGAAGCTCATAAACATTGAATAAACAGGTATAATATACAGTATAACTTATTATTTTTGTTATCCTTTTTGTCCAAACAAGACAAATTTGTACATAAATGTTGACTATCACTTAAGTCCTTTTAATTAGCTACTCACTTTTGGTCTTTTGGGATGGAGATTCAGCAGGGGAGGAAATGTGTGTTTCTTGTGTTGTATCTTCTTGTACATGCTCTTCCAGGATTGTCGATCTTCCCACGCCTTCTAAATATTCTGTATATATAAGTTCTTGAAATTATATACTTGAATTCATTTATCTTAAAATCAATGATTGGTTACTTCTAATAGTTTTCATTTTTTCCCTCATATACAAATATATGTGTGTGTGTGTGTGTTTTAAGTTGTTACAAGAACTTCAAATTTCAAACCAAAAAAAGTTAAGATGATCTTTAACTTAAAGCTTTTTAATTAAAATTAAAAAGACAATTTGGAAGAGACTCACAAACCATTTTTCAAAACTAAACTTGTCACATACTTTCTTTAAAGAATAAATTCACTGGTTGAAGATACAATAACATCCTTGGTTTCCTTAAATATAGTCTGCCTAAAGAATTAAAATTCTCTGAAAGGTGCTTTGAGAGCATCTTGCTTCCTCAACAGAGATGGCAATTGAAGATAGATAAGTTTATCTTATAATGATACTTATAAAGATAAACATATTAAATTTTATTTCCATAAAGAAATAATTTCCCTTCTCATTATTTTGAATTAATTTCCCATACTCAGCCTCTTGTTTTTCTAATTTTGACTGACATAATATAAACAGAATAGCATCTAAAACTTAAATATTGCTTATTCTTCATCCAAAAATGTCCTGAGTGTTTGATACAAATTAACTTATTTAATCCTTACAAAACTCTGATACAGGCACTATTACTAGTTCAGTTTTGAAAATGACAACTAAAGGAGGTTAACCTGACCATATTCATACAGCTAATTAGTAATAGAGACAGACAGACACAGAACACAAAGTCTCTCACTTTACTCTTAATCATAAGGAAGACAGCATCTGAAAATGGTGATAAATATCAACTAATATTCAGCCACTATAGAATTCATTCAACACTTCATTAACATAACCTAAACCCTAGTTTTAATAAAAAGAAAATTTTGTATTTCATATTGGACTTTAAAGTTAATTTTATGAGAACTGTGAGCCAAAAAGAAAAAAATGTGTGCTTTAAATAAAACATTTCTGCTATCTGTCAAAAATACTCAGCCTGCAATGGCTAGTGCATAGTCTCCATGTGGAGGATTAAATCAACAGACCCCTTCTCACAGGGACTTTTACTTGCACTTCTTTATTCAAATCTAGCTAAGAAAGTGTGTACTCTTATGACAAACAATTGTGTGTTCATATCATACAAATACTCTCTACCTAAAGAATAATCTACTAAGGAAATTCTACTAGGAAATGAAAGTAACCTCTGGGATTCTGTCCTTAAAATATTTGACCCATGGGCCTCCCCTGGTGGCGCAGGCAGTTGAGCGCCACACTGTAGGGCTGTCTGCAGCCTCTGCAGCGCCAGTTCGATCCCGGCCAGTCGGCGAGGGTCCCACATGGCATGGCAGACCTCTCCTGTCTCACCCGCTGCTCCCCTCAGCAGTATATTTTGTCAGTCGGCCTGTTCTGTTTCCTGCTCTGTCTCTGGTGAATCCTCTCACCCTCCCACGCATCTGGCCTGTACCCAGGTTCTTGTATATATAAATAAATAAATCTTAAAAAAAAATTTTTTACCCATGCATTAATAATGTAAATTAAATTTCTCTTCCAGGTCACAACAATGACTTTATCAATTATAACCAGCAATCTGGATTCTGGCAGTAACAAACTTTTTCTGAAGATTTTAAATGTACCAGTGGCTCTAAATCCAGGAAGGCAAAGAATATAGACAATGCATTCACATTCTAAAGTTTGTTGATGATTTTAAAAATATAAGATAACCCATAATTCTTTATTATGGATTTTGGCAAAGCTAATGGATTTTAACCATTTAAATGAGCACACTCTGATATAATATTTCCAGCTAAGTTGAACTAATACCATATGTTTAAAAATGCCTATAACCATGTGTCATGTGCCCTTTATAGTGGATATCATGTATTTTGCTACCCTCAAAATACATGTTATGCATAGTCTTTATGTTTTCAATGTTCAGATAGAAGCAAAGTCCAATATGAAATACAAAGTACTTGGAGGGAGATTTATAAATGCTGTCTACCACTCTTTTTCACTCCTTTGTTTTCATTTGATGTGATTTTAATTTGAATTAATATGAAACGCCACACTTGTTTTTCTTCTCTGGTTTGTCCCTGTGTGCACTTGACTTGCAATTAACTTCTTTATTGACAAGAAAATTGCAAGGGCTTGAACTTCCTTCAGAGGTTTTGGAAATAAAGAGGAAAGAGCATAATGACCTCTTAGAGTGCATCTCCTCAATTTACCCCTTTTTGGCCTTTGTTGACTCCTGTCTCTACAGGCCTCACAGCTGACGAGGTGTTAATTCATTTATCTCCCAGTAGGACAAAGCCACTTTAAAAAAATATATATATATTTATTCATGCATACAAGAACCAGGTACAGGCCAGGTGCGCAGGAGGGTGAGAGGATTCACCAGACACAGAGTGGGGAACAGAACAGGCAGATTGACTGAAATATGCTGCTGAGGGGAGCAGCGGGCAAGACAGGAGAGGTCTGCTGCACCATGTGGGCATCTCCCTGGCCTGCCGGGATCTAATGCGCACTGCAGAGGCTGCAGACAGCTTCACAGAACTGCGCTCAACTGCCTGCGCCAGCAGGGAGGCCCCAAAGCTGCTTTTTAATTTCTGATACCCAATGAAACCCGTTCCTTCTCTCTCCTCTGTTACACATGCAGCTACTCTACACAATTTTAGGAGCTGGTCACTGCTGAACAGTGAAGGAGCTAACTGGAAAGAGAATGAATATCTGGGTGTTTAAGGAAACATGTTCCATTGCCAGGCAAATATCACCCAGCAGAAATGGAAAGTTTTTAAAACAAATTTTTCATAAAATTGTAAGTCAATGGGGAAACACAATCCTGTCAATGAAAAAGTAGTACTTAGAAGCCTGTCAAACCTGCAGCTGGCTAATAATTACAACTAAGTCCAAATGGACCTAAAAGACAACCTGCAAGAGATTTGTTCAGAAAGAAAGGCTGGGAATACTGAATTATCTTGTGCCACTGGACTAGGGAGGGGAAAACTCTGTATTCTTTCATGGAAGTACAAATTTGTTGCTGCTAACCCTCCACTTATGGAACAGCTCAGTAACTAATACAGGATATAGGAATTTCAGCAAGTCAGACTCTTGGAACTTCAGTTTCCCTTATGTGCAAAAGGGAAACAAATAAAATCTGGCTATCTACCTCACAGAATTATAGAAATAAGACAAAATAATAGAAAATTCCCAAGAACTCTTAATGCATCATTCAAATATAATACTTAATTATTATTACTTTATGGCCTATTATCTGCAACTTCATTACTAGCTACTTACTACATGAATTAAAAAAAATCTTTTTAGGGCCTCCCTGATGGTGCAGGCGGTTGAGCTCTGCACTGTGAAGCTGTCTGCAGCCTCTGCAGCACGGGTTCGATCCCAGTCAGCCGGCGAGAAGCCCACCTGGTGTGGCAGACATCTCCTGTCTCGCACGCTGTTCCCATCAGCAGTGTTTTTCATCAGTCTGCCTGTTCTGTTCCCTGCTCTGTCTCTGGTAAATCCTCTCACCCTCCTGCGCATCTGGCCTGTACCCTGGTTCTTGTATAAATAAATAAATCTGGGCCTCCCCGGTGGCGCAGCGGTTGAGCGCTGGGTTGTGAAGCTGCCCGCGGCCTCTGCGGCGCCGGTTCGATCCCCGGCTGCTCCCCGGCCACCGGAGGAGGATCCCACATGGCGCGCAGACCTCTCCTGCCGCCCGCTGCTCCCCTCAGCAGTGTACTTCAGCCCTTCTGCCTGCTCTGCTCCCCGCTCTGGCTCTGGTGAATTCTCTCACCCTCCCGCGCTTCTGACTGTACCCAGTGCATGTATAAACAAAACAAACAAACATAATAAATAAATAAATAAAAACATGCCTCTATTAAAAAAAATAAATAAATAAATAAATAAATAAATAAATCAATCTTTGAAAAAAAAACTTTTTAATATCAAGTGAGTAAAAAAATACTTCAGCTTTTTAAAAAATCCTAAGTAGCTGAAAAAGAGAAATAAAACATTTGAAAGTGCTATTACTGACTTTAAAATGTGTCTACCAAAAAAACGCAAACAGAAATTCATGCAAGCAAACATTAACTCAAAACCCAAGAGGAAACTTTGACAGTTTTAATTTCATCTTAACTTTAAGGCAGACTCATCCATCATTCAGTATTTTTTACCTTGTAAGAGGGTTGCAATCTGGAGAGATTTCTGAGATGGATGCTCTTTCAGAATGTCTAAGACAGTTCTACCTAAGCTATCCTTTATGTTGGCATCAATTCCTGAAAGGAAAAAAAAAAAAAAACAGTACATGTACACCATTGGAATGGCATCAGAAGGCATTGCCAATATATAACTGCTCTTATTTTAAATGTATACAGACCAAGCACTGAAGTTGATTTGTTGTTTTGTTTTGTTTTGTTTTGTTTTAAAAAAAAAGGCTCTACACACACACACACACACACACACACACACAGGCCCTTAGAACAAAAAAAGGTAGAAGTCTACTATATCAAAGAATAGAAACATTCTTGATAATGAATTAACTTTTAATGGTCACTAACCAACCATGAAGATGGCTTTTTAAGATTATAGCTAGTTTGAATAATAGTTAGGTTAAATAAATAGTATAACATCAAGTTGAAAACTTGATGATTTACAATGTGAATTCCTAAAGTAAAATGACTTATATATCTGCATAATATAGAATAATATAATGTATAATATGGAAAATATTTTAATTATAATAATATACCATGTGAGTAATATAAGAACAGTCAGTATACTTAGTTATTCACAAAAAAGCTTTATTATTTTGTCCAAATACTATTTGTCACAATACAAAATTAAATATTTCATATTATTTGTACAAGTATTTCATAATGACAGCAACATTCATCAACTACCTTGTGAGCAAATTTCTTGATATTTATAACAGAAATACCATTGGAATTACTTTCATTCTGAAAATAATTATTGTGTTAAAGAACATATTTTAATGTATCAAATACCTTCCATGTCCCTAAAAATATTTAACATTTTTAGCATCTAACTGGAAATAAAGTCAGTTTTTAGGATCTGGCCTCAAATGTGACTTCATCAAAATAAGATAAAGTATTTACTTAAATTTGTATAAGGATATGTGACCAGCACATATTTAATTGATTCATTTACTCTTGCACTATGTACATGTCAGAGTTACAGGCACAAATATATAAACACAATCAAAATGCAATAGTTGGCCAGTGTTTTCCATTTTATTTTTTTTACAGAGAAAAATAAAAAACTAAATATTCCATAAAACAAAAGACTCACATTGATAGTTTGCAAATATGAATTTGTACTGTACACATGACCTTTTGATCCCAAACAAAATCTGACTTAAGTTCCAATTTCCTATTCATTTCTATCAGAATATACATAAAGGCAAGTCTGATTTGGTGTTCTCCAAAGTATTCTCTAAAAGGTTCCCTTTAAATCACTGCAACCTACAAGCAGTAGCTATTTAGTTGATGAAGTACTGGAAAGTATTTACCTTAAGGATAGGGAACTCTAATTTCTGCTTATCATAGTTCACAATACAAAAACCTAGAGAAAAGATCATGTTTTTAAATTAAACAAATAATTGTCAGAACTTTAGAGGGATTAGTTCCTCCCTCTTGGAGAAGCTAGAAATTTCCTTCTTTTGTAAATACTGTATAATACTATATATTATTTTTATATATTCTATATATGACCATGTAATATGCATAATATAAAAATGCTATATAAAATACAGAATATTTTAATGTTATTTAAATGTATGAAATTATAATTTCCAAGAGATTTTTAATAAAACATGTATTGCATAGAGGAAGGTACATGTTTTACAGCAACTTCAGCTAAACACGGCGGCTCAGTTCTATATCTGCAGTAAGGAGTTAAGGCAGGAAGTAAGGGTGAGTGTGAAAAAAACAGTGTCATTTTTCTTTGTCTGTGCCTAATGCAGAAATCGTAGTTGGCAGAATAAGCTCCATGGAGAATCACAATTACCTGTTTCTAACAGAACTCTTACAACATCCACCTTTCCAAACAAAGCTGCTTCATGAAGTGCACTCCCCTTTTCTGTCTGGGAAAGAAAAAGAGGCATGTTTGTATTAGAAATGCTTTCATGTTAAATATTCTATCATTTTGAAATTATGCTTAGGATTTGTTTTAAAATAATCTAAGGAAAACAGTAGGAGGAGTTAAAGGAAACAGAGTACAAGATAGACCATAATGGTTGTTTTGTAGTCTTTGTTCTATTCTCTTAATTTTTGTGTTTGTTTTTCAATGTCCATAACAAAATTTCAGTTAAAAAATTGTCTTTTTACCTAGTCACACATATTCTCTATAATCTCAGCACTCCCAGACAGAATGGAAGTGTAGAATAAAGAGGAGATTCTAGAAACATAATCCCAAAGCATGGATTTGGGAAACGTTTCACAAATAGCCACTTGACTTTATATTGGTTGGTAAAATAAGAGTAGTACTGCCTATCCCAGGGAGCTTTTGTGAGTCTTCAATGAGTTCACTTAATTCAACACACACTTATTAAACACCAACTATATTCCAAGAACATTTAAGGAATATTTTGAGTTGTGAAAATATGAACCTGACCCTCATATATTCATATTCTATTTGAGGCTCTAATCTCTGCCTGGCAGGCTCTAATCCACACCATCTTTTATCTCACCATAACCTGTATCACTAGTTCTCAATCTTCAGCATGAACCAGAATCACCTACAAAACTTGTTAAAAAAAAAAAATCTAGGTCTCACTCCAGAGTCTGATTCAGTACACTTGGATGAGGCTCAAGAATTTCCATTTCTAACAAGTTCCTAGAGATACTGAAGGTATAAGGAGTACACTTTGAATACCACTGACCTACACAAATATGTCAAATATCAGCTTAAAAATCCCATTTAGAAATACACCCCGGCACCTGAAGTCTAATACTTTTTCCATGTGTTCCACATCAAAGCATATTTCCCCAGCATTTATAATGCCACATTACAATGCCATGTGAGTGTCTATTTCCCTTAAACTGTAAGTTTAGTGGAAATGTAGTTCACGTCTATTTACTTCATTGTATCTCCAATGCCTAGAAAAATACCTTGAAAATACAGACATTAAAGAATTATTTTGAGGCCAAAATGCAGAAGAATACAGCAGGAAAAGAAGAATTTGTGAGTAATGCAGAGGAGAGTCAAGCATAATTTCAAAGAGGAGGTTCTTTGAGCAACAGGAATGTTAGCTGGGGTTTTCTCAATTACTTTTGCTTCCTCTCAAGAATTTTAAAAATGTCTAGCAGACCCTCAGTGTGTGTGTGTGTGTTAAATTGCATACTGTCATTAGGCCAACTTTATTTCCTGCACTAAAAGTGATCTCTAAGGGGAACTCATCTCAATCCAAAGTAGAAACACCACTATAAAATATTACACAAAAACTTCTTTAATTGATATAACCTCATTGTAGAGTTAACTCAACCCAAAATGGTGTATAAATGTATTATTAAAGAGGCTTGGGGCCTCCCTGGTGGCGCAGGGGGTTGAGCACAGTGCTATGAAGCTGTCCACAGCCTCTGTAGCGCGGGTTCGATTCCTGGCCAGCCAGAGAGCTACCCACATGGCACAGCAGACCTCTCTTGTCTCACCCGCTGCGCCCCTCAGCAGTGTTTTCAGTCATCTGCCTGTTCTGCTCCCCACTCTGTCTCTTGTGAACTCTCTCAACCTCCTGCGCCTCTAGCCTGTACCCCAGTTCTTGAATAAATAAATAAATCTTTAAAAAAAGGAAATAAAAAAATAAAGAGGCTTGTGAAATGCTGAAGATCTATCAATGTGATTTGAATTTATCTTCAAAAAAGTCATGACTTTGAATTATAATTTTATTGGTGTGACATGTACAAACACTGTAAGATGAAAATAAAAATAAAAATTCATATATATATATATATATATATATATATATACATCATTGTGTAGAAGAAAAAAGAAACTGTGGGAATTATTTGGCTCCCTGAACAATATTTCAATGTAGGGCATAGATATTTAACTTTTCCCAAAAAAAAACAACCCTTGAAAAAATCTGATTTTTCTCACTCCTCATTCTGTGTTTTTCAACCAACTTTCTTAATGCTGATTTGATTGTCTTTATTTAAATTTTCACAGAATTTTGGTTTTAAAGAAAAAACCTTCATAGAATAGTATACCTTAAAATTCTGAAAATGTTTTAAGCACAAGGATAAATAGGAAAAACAGCGGAAATCCTCAGAACTCGGGGAAGGGAGTGTCTGACAAAAAATATCAACCCAGTGGTTAAGCAGTGGGAATTCACCAATCTGTGATAGGTTTCAATCCGTCACTCAAGGTGGAAGTGGAAAAGATGTAGGAGACAGTCTAAAGTCCAAGCAAGTGGAGAGCCTAATGGACCCCTAAGAAACTCAAATAAACTCAAAGAACAACCCCTAAATATACTTGGTGGAAAAAAAAATTTAAACATGTTGCACAGGGGAAGAAAGTAAGGATGTCTATTTTGGTCTAGGTTTTAAGTGGAGATGGATAACAAAATAAACACAGCACCCAAGAATTCCTAACCATAAGTCTATCCTCAAATGAGGATAGAGTCAAAATTGCACAAGCACTGTGATTCCCAGATTCTGAGCCAAAAATACAGGAATCTGGGTTGTAGTATCAGAGGCAGATATAAATGGCTAGCAGAAGCAGATATAAATCATCTCTGAGAAAATACACTTTAAGACAGACTTCAAGAATTCCACTAGAAAAAGCTCTAAGAAGCACAGATTTAAAATTAGAAATCACTAAACATGAAAGAAAATAAATCATTAAGAGCAAAAAATACTAGAAAAAAGAGTAAGGCCTACAAAATCTTCACTTAGTAGAAAGTTCAACTACAGAACATAAAACATTTATGACCGATAAGATGAAAACTGAGAGTATATCATATATAACTAAAGAATAAGAGGACTATCAAAATGGACCAGATGTGAAAATGAACCAAATAACACTTCTAGAAATTGAAAGTTATAATATTTTAAGTGAAAAGGTTTAATACCAGCCAAGATATAGCTAGAAAACGTTTTAATATCAAACCTGAAGTAGACAGTAGAGGTCTGCAGGTATTCTCACTGGCTGAAAATCAATCATAATAAACTATAACCCTAAACTGCTACAGTAAATTTGATATTCATTAAATTGTTCTAGTTAGCCAGTTGAGAATTAGTATAAAAATTAATCCCTTTTAGTAAATTATAGTTATGTTCTTTTAGACTTTAATTATATTCAAGTTATTATGAATAATTTTTTAAAATTTAGAGATGACTTTGGAGGATCTTGTTTTTTCTTGTAATTGCAAATGTTTTTAAATGTAGCATTATATTAATGTTTTCTATAGAAGCTTTATTTCCTGCCTCATTTCTTTCTGAGCGATTTTTAATTGTAACACATATTTGAACTAGTGAGCAAGATAATTGAATTTTGTTGGGTAAATTTCACATTATTCTTACTTATAAATTCTCTAGTCTTAAAAGATTTCATAATAAAGAGATCAATCATATTAAGATATTCATAAAGCAGGATTTATTTATTAATTTATTTAATTGAGAAGTTTCTCTTGAAAAGTAGCAGTTATTGGGGCCTCCCCAGTGGCGCAAGGGGTTAAAGACAGCACTATCAAGCTACCGCCAGCCACTGCAGCACAAGTTCAAGTCCCCAGCCAGGCAGGGAGGTGACCCACATGGAGCAGCAGACCTCTCCTGTCTCTCCCGCTGCTCCCCTCAGCAGTGTATTTCAGTAGATCTGCCTGTTCTGCTCCCTACTCTGTCTCTGGTGAATCCTTTTACCCTCCGCACCTTTGGCCTAAACCCCAGCTCTTGTATGCATAAATACATAAATCTTTAAAAAAAAAAAAGAAAAAAGAAAATTAGCAGTTATTTTTATGAATTCTGACCTGAGTTTGAGTAACTAGGTGGCAGGGGTGCTGCTTTAACTGTTATGTGTTTCTTGTGAGTTTCTCTTATCAAAACTTTGAGAGTTAAAAACATGAGCATAACATTAAGCCAATTGGATTTCACATGAATATTTAAAGAAACTAAAATTACAGAAAATTAATAAAAGAATAAAGATTATTATGCTAAGTGCTGTTTAAAAGCAAAGCTGAGCAAAGTACAGCTTTTGCTCTCAAACAGTTTACAGTGGCAGGAAAACATGTTCCTACGTGGATAGACTGATAAAATAGTCACTCTTCTACTAGATGATTATTTCACAATTTCTCCTCTCTTCCCCAAACTTCAATACCTCTTTCCCTGTTATCCCTCTGTTATTGTAGTTTTGCTTTTATTTCACTGAAATAATAGAAGCCATCTCATATTCCCACCAATACATCTGCCAACATACATTTATCTGTTGTCCCTCCATATACGTATCTGCTTTAAATGAACTTTCTAGACTGTATATCCAAGGTTAACTCTATATATAGATAAACACATACACACAAACACACAGACACAAATATTATATGATGGAATAGCACTCAGCTATAAAAAAGCATGAAATACTGCTATTTGTAACAGCACAGATGGAATTGAAGAAATTTTGCTTAGTAAAATAAGTCAGAAGGAAAAAGACAAAAACCAGACAAATTTACTCACATATGGATTATAAAGAAACAAAACAAATAAACAGACAACAAAACAAAAACAAATCCTTCGAATTAACCCTTTCAAATCTGAACTGAGATTACTATAGTGTAGGAACAAAGCAGGTACAGGGCCCACTGGACTGTGGTGGAGGATTATGAGTACCTTGGTGGTGGGAAGAAATATGACTGCTCTCCTAAAACATATATAGTGTTGTAAATCAATATTACCTCAATAACAACAAAAATAGATTGTCCTTTCCTTCTGGAGAAATAAAACCTATTTGGATGTTATCCTTCAAAGCTCAACTCAAACTATAAATCTCCAATATTTTTTTTTCCTACCTGCCCTGAGATTAGTGATCATTCCTTCACTAATCATATATAAACAGTACATTATTTTAGAAAGAAGCTTGGGTATTAATCAGTAAGTCTAAAATTCACCTATGGGTTTATCAGTTACGAATCCTTAGGCAAGTTTAAATCTTTGAATTTAATACCTCAGTTCTTAACTGGAACCTACTAGCTCTCAATCCCACAGGATAGCTGTGAGAATGGAATTCTAAATGTGCAGACATACTAAATACAAAGCACATACTCAAAAATGTTACAGTGAATTTTGTTTCATTCACTAGGCTTTGACTGGACTCCCAGTGTTTGCTAGGCTGTGTTCTAGACACTGAGAAAGGAAACAATTACTAATGATACCACACAAACTGCCATCAAGTAATAATTTTTCAATGCCTAGCCCTCAAATTAGAAAGAGGTCAGAGATTATGCCTTCTATCTTGTTCTATTTCCCAATAGTGTGCAGCCAAGTGCCTGGGATTTAGCAGTTAAAAAATACTTATAAACATCTGACTGATTCAAAACATGGTAAGAGTTCTACATATGCTTTAACCTCTTATCTCAAAGCAAAGCAACTGCATCATCAGTTTTAAATAGGAGCTAAGAGAAGACTCACTTGACAGCTCACATCCATTCCTGCTTCCAACAGCACCTGGACCACTGCCTTGTGACCATTGCGTGCTGCCAGGTGCAAGGGGGTGTGCTTCCGAGTGTTGCAGCTCATTAAATTGGGGTGAGCACTGATGATCATTTTGACCACTCTTAGCCGTCCGTAGAGCGCCGCCAGGTCCAAAGGGGTTTCCAGCTTGCTGTTCCTGATGGTTGGGTCAGTGAGCTCTTCTAGGAGAACAGCCACTACCTCAGAGTGCCCGTACTGAGCCGCACAGTGTAAGGCAGTTTCATTTTCATTGTTCTGTTAAGACAAAGACATTAAATGCAAGTTTTCAGGAGTGTGGTTAGTGATCAAAATTTGAACACAGTAACTTAAACCTCAGATGCTTTGAAAATGTAAATGTGGCTATTTTGAGAAAAAGAAAAAGTCAATTATGATCCTCAGACACCTTCTATTTTTGCAGAAGTCTTAGCCTAGGAAATTATAAGTGCAAAATTGAAACTCTTTTCTATTAATTCCAATGAACATTGATCCGTCTCAAGAAAAAAGTTACTTTTATCACTCCATCATTAAGGAGAAAATATTCATAGGGTTTATACATGGTCAACATGTGGATTCCCATGTCAGTGATCCTGTCTTAAGTGTAGCTTAAGAATCTAAAGAAAATGCTTTATTTTCTTTAACATTAAAATCTAAGATAGAATTATTCTTAAAAGTAGCTGAATTAGACCTCAGGGGAACTTTCAGATATCAGAAGACCTAACTATCACAATTTGAACATCATAACATAATACCAAAGCAAAGTTTAAAAAAAATCTCTAGAACTTTTCAACTTCTTTTCAATAGAAACCACAGCACCAAGTAATAGAACTGAAAAAGGAATTCTGAATTCCAATCACCTTAAAAATACTTTTTGTAATATTTTAACTGATCTGTTTACCATCACAGAATATAAGTGCTTCTCCTTAAAACACCATTACGATCATATGCCATTTAAAATGTTCAATTTTCAAATGTAAATAAATAGTAAGGGGCTTTTATTTTCATGGTATTTGAAAAATATTTCATTTGTAAAAGCTCACATCCTCTTGTTTAATCTTGGATTATTTTATCATATTCCCTCAGGTTCTTTCAGGCATTCAGGCAATTTTAAGAATAACCACCAGATGGCTCATCCCACAAACGATTCTCTAACTTGTGATTTTTCTGAGAACACAATAAATAGCATTCCCATTAATTTCCTTTTTTCTCGTGATATGCTGATAGTCAAATCTGTCAGTTTCATGAAGACTGAATTTATTAGTGTATTCTCACAAAATAACTTGCATTGTGTAACCTGGAAACAAGTTTTTGTTGTGATAAATATTAATAAGACACCTTTAATTAATAAAGTATTTTTCCTAATTAGTCTTCTCTACAACTACATTTTGTTGGGGAAAAAAAATGTTTTCTTCCCTTTGCTGTTTATATCTAGTGCTAGTATTTTTTTTAATTCTTTACTCTGAATTTCAGTCAAAGGCCTGCAAACTGTATGCATTTGAGCAATATGCTAATTGTACTTCATTAGATGCACTTGCCCTCGAGTAACCCACTTGCATTGATATTGGACAACTGCCAACCTGCTGCTTAATGCCATAGTTGTAATTCAATTGTCGGTCTGCATGCTGATTTCAAATATAGTTTTACAAAATGGGAACAGTAGGGGGCATACAGAGCTCAAGGTGTTTGTTATCATACTGTACTAGGAGATCATATTTTGCTTTTTGGAATGTATGGTGTTCTTTATTTAGAATATTAAGAATGGTGTTCCTTTTTAATATGTCCATTATAATACAGATATTATATACTTAGAAATATCATGATTTTCCCTGTAATACCATACTGCTGCAGATTTTTACTCCATTTACTCAAGCACTGTCTATAGATACACATACATGAAATTCTTAATATGTGACTAGCAACTGTATCTACTGTATCTTGCATTTTGATTCACAAATTCTACTTACTGTGAAAGCTCTATGTAAATGTAAAGCATTATGCAAATGATTGCCATCATTGTTTTAGCATTTAAAATTTTATTAAGAAAAACTCCAATTTACTTTACAAATGTGAATTCTGTTCTATCTTTAAATATTTAACAACTATAAAAAGGATGCTTCCAAAAGGGAGGCAAAGACAGTACAGTTACTTTCTTCATGTGAGATTTTGTTAAACATCTTTTTTAAAAAAAAAAAAAAAGATTCATTTATTCATTTATACAAGAACCTGGGTACAGGCCAGATGGCAGGAGGGTGAGAGGATTCACCAGAGAGAGAGCGGGGAACAGAACAGGCAGACTGACAAAATACACTGCTGAGGGGAGTAGTGGGCCAGACAGGAGAGGTCTGTCTTGCCATGTAGGACCCTCACCGGCTGGGAATTGAACTGGTGTTTCAGAGGCTGCGGACAGCTTCACAGCGCTGCTGCGCTCAACTGCCTGAGCCACCAGGGGAGGCCCAAACATCTTTTTTTTTTTTTCATTAGTGGGAATTTTCTTGGCCAAAGAAAAGAAGTGGATACTTTTTAAGGAAGTAGGTATTTTTTCTCCTTCAACTGAGTGAGGAGAGCTTTTGGAAAAGCTCTTATGAATCTTGACCTGTATGCTCTGTGCTGTAGACACAAGGGTTAGTATCTAACTTAGGTGTGAAAAGAGTCTAACTCTTGACAGAGCATGGAAAAAAAGATGGCTACAGACAGAGACTGCTCTGCACCCACAGATTTGGGGCAAAGATGCATACTGACAAATATCTTTACAGATGCCCAGCATATCATTTACAAGTGCAAAAGATTTTTCAAATTTCTCCCTTAGGAAATTCAGCAGTGTGAAGGTCTTTGGCAGGGTAAAGATGGAAATGATTAATTTTTCAATGTGGATTTGCTTTGCAAAACTCTAGAAAAATTATAGAACATGCCAACATTTGACTATTGTACCTGCTCATTGACTCTGGAATGTGATGGTCCATGATGAATAAGAATCTTCACAATTTCCACATCTCCTTTCCAGGCAGCCAGGTGTATAGGAAAATAACCTTTGTTGTCTGCTACATTTGTGGATGCCTCATACTGAAGTAGTTTGAGAACTATGTCCCTAAGAAGAAAAAAAGAAAAACATGCTGAACAATGCAGATTTTATTAACATGTAATTATGAGTATAGTGGGTGTTGACTGGTAATTTAGAGTAATCATTCAAGGTAGTGAGACATAAAATTGGGCATAAGGGGTCAGTCATATGGTGAAGGATAGAATTGGATTTTTAATTGAAACTTTCTGTAGTTTGTACAGATGTTGACTTAAAATGAAGCACACCTGAAACTTATGTGATAATGCAGTGTTGCTTCAATTAAAAAATAAAATAAAATTTTTTAAAAAGAGTTTGCCTGTTCAACATTTGGCTATTTTTCTTACAGAAAACAACTACCCCAGAGTGAGAGCATTGGCTACCCAATAAAAGCATTTAATAAAATTCATCTGTGCAAAAATTATGTAATTACATTAACTAAATGATTTAAGGAAAATAATTAAAATTTATCTCTCTCCTCATCTTTTAAAAAAGGTCTTTCCTGATAACCTGTATCTGAGATTTAGCCTTAAGTAGAAGTTGAGGCACAAATTCCCTGTATACATAAAAAGTTACACTACCAAGAGATTATTTAAAGAGTTTATACATCATTCCTATGGAAAACTGGAATAAGGAGTTGAAAATGCATACTGAAGAGAATTCACATAGCACAGTACAAAAGGAACTTTAACGAGGTAGCTGTAGTATTAAATCCAAGATTCCCCCTTTTTAGTCCTTCACCTTTTTAGTCCAAACCTAAGAAAATATTTCAAGAGGGAAATTCACCGAGAAAAGTCCCACCACTGATACAACTTCAACACATACTCAATATAACCTACCAATAAGATTTTGAATTTAATCTCCAGGATTAATGAATAAATCTTAATATACAATATATAGAACTTATATGAAACAATCAAAAACAGTAATCCTAAACCAAAGTTGTACTGATTGTATAAAATAAAAAATTATTCTCAAAAGCAGGTTACTGAAATGGTGATCAATCACAATGATTATTTTTAATGAAGTAGTTCCACATTTAAATATAAACTAAACACTTGGATCTAACCAAAGTGTTTATCTTACCAAAATTGAGCCTTCTCCAAATTCATAGAGCAGAGAAAGACAATTATGTGAAAGGTTTTGATTTCATTTCTCGATGCTTAAGCAAATGAAAAAACATGTTCTGAAACTTCTCCTAAAAGCATTTCCTTTCAAGGGGTAAAGAGAAAAGTTTGATTGCATCATCAATCCCATTTTCTTTCCCTTTCATTCAAACCATTCAGAATGTCATTTGCTCCCTGGCTCAATTTTTATTGTCATATTCTAATAATGTATGTGATATGCCCTCTTTCTTTATTCAGGATGATTTATGATATGGTAAAAAACTGGCAAATTTACTAATCATTTGCCATTTACTAATCATTTTATAGTGTTATTACCACCAAATATAAAAACAGAAAAAAATAATCCATATGATTATGAAACTGCCTTTGGTAAACACTACAATCCTAACTTAATACTATTGTTTCTTTTTATGCTTTTTAAAAATTCATTTTATTAAATGGATTGTTGATTAAAATTGAGTCATCTTATTTAGGTATATTAGTTAATGAAGTGGCTGAGTTCAGATTTCAATATGAAAATGTATTTATGAATTATAAAGCTTTTTTGATCAAATAAGTATTACTGAAACATAAATAAAATACTAATGAACAAATTGTCATTAATTTTTATGGTACATCCATGTATATCACGAGTAACATGTATTACTCTGACCTTTTGCATCCAGACTCATTAAGAACAAATTAAATGTTACATATTTTCTATAATATCTAAAGAAGAAGAGTAACTAACTTAGGACCCTTCAGAATCAGGAAGCCTAAGAAAGGGCAAATCAAAAGGACAACAGAGAGTTTACTATATGAATTCAAGATCAAATTTGAGATATAATCTGGATTACAGATAATGGAGTCTAGGATTCAGGCATTAAATATTTACAGAATGAGAAGCAAAAACAGAAAATATTTTAACCCCATAACTCAAAGATAAAGTTACAAATGAACGCTGACATTTTTTCAGACCCTCTTCCAAGAATTACAATGTACCCAATATTAATAATGAGATAAAAATTAACATTAAAAAGGGATTTACTATATCAAAAGAATCAAAATAAAACATGAATAAACCATCTTAATGAAGTCTTATAGGAAATGACACAATTATTTTTTAAAGAGAAAGGAAAAAAGAGAGGAAGAAAGGAAAGAGGGAGACAGGAAAAGAAGAGGAAGGAAGGGAAATAGAAAAGAAAGAATGGACATAGGGCAGCAGACAGGTCCAGTGGCTGGCTGGCTAAGTGCTATTCAGAGGAGAATTTAAGGAATCAAATGTGTAGTAGGAATCCTCCACTTTTTAAAAAGAGAAAGTCAGGTCTCTCTCCATCTATTGAAGTGATTTGTTTATAATCATTGCTAGTGGGTTCTGCTCTGCTGACCATCTTTTTTTCCCTATCACTTGAAGGTAATGATTTCCTAATCTGTAATTACAAATGACCCAGGACATCCATATTGTACATTTTCTACTGCATCCCAATGTGGCTAAGTAGAGATGAGTTGTTCTTTTGGAATACTGTGGCAGAAAATGTTGTTCCGTTTGTGGATTAGCTACTAGCATTGATAAGCCAGAGCTCCCAACAAAACAGAGAAAGTAGGAGAAACTGGCTGAATAAGCAGTGTGAGAGCTTGCATGTTGGGGGTAGGGGAAAAGTCTGTGCTCAAAGCAAGAGAATAAATAACAGGACCCTGTTACTATCCTTCCAACTCTATGATTTCATGAACTTTAGCTAAGAAATCATAATGTGAACAAGCTTGAACTGAGGGATGTAAAAGCAGCAACAACAAACATGGATATGCTATGTTGTTATGCTGACATAATCAATTGTTCATTACCTATGCTAAGTGAGAACAGCAAAGGCAAAAGAAAGAAAAGCCATTCTTTTCTGGCTCTGAGATAAATTCTACGACATCTTTTTCTTCCTCAAATAACTTTGCAACTTAACCAATATTAAAATGAGCATTCCAGGTGAACACACTATTTAATGATAATGGGAGGCAGTCCTAAAATACATAAGGTGACAGAGAAAGGGCAGGGTGAGTTTAGGAATCTGATGTGCATGTAGCCACAAAGGGGAGCTAATACAGAGTTGGCAAAGCTACATCTGGAAGCAGGATACTTAGACTCCACACACAGCCGCACCTTAATATCTAAGTGGCCATTAAGTCACTTGTCCAGAATGTCCTGTTTCTCCATTTATGAAATGACAGAAGCAAGGAACATAGGGAAGAATAAATGATCTCTAGTCTAAAAGTTCAAGGATAGGGACCTCCCTGGTGGCACAGGGGTTAAGTCTCAGTGCTATCAACATATCGCCAACCATTGAAGCATGAGTTCAATCCCCGGGCAGGCTGCTGACCCACATGGCACAGCAGACCTCTCCTGTCTTGCCTACTGCTCTCCTTAGTAGTGTATTTCAGTGGATCTGCTCTCTCTCAGGTGAATCCTCTCATCTGTGGCCTACAACCCAGATCTTGAATGCATAAATAAATAAAAATAAATCTTAAAAAAAAACACTGTAAAAGTTTAAGGATAATTTAAATAATTGACATCAGGAAACCTTTATAACTCTAAATGAAAATCCAAAGTTCACCAGGTATAGCACCAATAGATATAGTTGAGCCACAGTGATACTAAAAAATTGTATTATAAAATGTTATAATTGGAAGGAAAAATGAAAATTATCCACTCAATATATCCAGTACTTCAAACTGAGGTTCAGAGTGATTGATTAATGACTTGAGGTCACATACTAGCAGAAATGGAGAGATGGGATTTGAATTTTCCTATACCTGTAGAATGACACTGAGTAAAATCTTGCTAGAAAATTGATATTTTCAGAAAAATCAAACATAATTTTCAGAGAATATCCGCAATTAGATATTCAATGATATCTAGTCAAACCCCCAACTCATCGTGTGCATCTTTTTTTTAAAGATTTATTTATTTTTATACAAGAATTGGGGTACAGGCCAGAGACATGGGGGTGAGAGGATTCACCGAGACAGAGTGGGGAACAGAAGAGGCAGACGGAATGAAGTATACTGCTGAGGGGAGCAGCGGGCAAGACAGGAGAGTTCTCTCCCACCATTTGGGTTTCTCCCTAGCCGGCCAGAAATCAAACTCGTGCTGTAGTGGCTGCTGATTGCTTCATAGATTGCATCTTAACCCCTGAGCCACCAGGGAGGCCCTCATCATGAGCATCTTAATGATTACTATTCAATTCACTTAAGCTATCTTCATGTAGCACATTGCCAACAGAAATTAAAAAGTATGTCATGGACCACAGGGAAACACTTCTCAATAGTTAGAACTTCAGAGCATAAATTAATAACATTTACTAAACACTGAAAATCAAGGAGGGATGTGAATGCTAATACATACAGAGACAATATTACTTTGAGACAATATCCATTCAATTGGATAACTTGTCTTCCCAATGCCATGACATTGACCCCATAGTTAAAATAACCAAAGAAGCCATCAGTACTCCATAGCTTGAGTTGATTAATCCTGGCTTCATTCCTGATGACCCAGGTACAAAGAAGAAAAAAGAGCAATTCCTTTAAAAGATTAAGGTGGTGGGGATCTGGACACATTTTTCATGCTACAGAAAGACAGTACTACAATTGAAACAGATCTAGCAAAATAAAAAAGCTCCAAGTTAGATGACATAACACAACAGGGACTGGATGAAAAGAAATGTAATTTGGGAATTTCCACACTAAGAATCCAAGTGATGAAATAGTAAGTTTATGATATTTTAAGTGATTCAGATGTTTCAAAAATGATAATGTTAGATTGATGCAATAAATTTTAAGGTAGAAAATGTCATCATGATAAACAGTGACAAAAATACAGTGTTTCTTGTGTGCAAGTCTTAAGACTATAAAATATGATCAAATATAACTAAGCATTTTCCTCTATTCACAGACTAAAAGAAATCTTAGGTGGGAAAGCAAAATGTAACTAGCATTTTTAAGCAGTATATTACCACATCTAAAAACTGAAGTGAAATGAAATGATCCAGACAGATCTGGGAAGACTAAATTGGATCATCAGCGCAAAGTAGAAATAGGTAGGAGGAGGAGACACATATAGAAGGTGGTTTCTCTTCTGAGAGAACACAATATCTGAATCATTCAGGGGCCTCATCACACTCTGACTTTGGAACTAAACCATTAGGTTACCCAGCTAACCCACTGGGGAAAAGTGATAGTTTTGGCTCTACATTCTTTTATTTGGCATACTGTATCCTATCACAGCATTTGAGACATAATTTGATAATTTTCAGTTGAAAGCCAGGAAGACTATCATGAATGAAAATAAAATGCATTTTAATTAAATGATGGTAAATTAAAAGGATGGTAAAGTGGTTCACCTATGTGCCAGCTGCTTATTACAGCAAGAATTTAATAGGGGGGCCTCCCTGGTGGCGCAGCAGTTGAACGCTGGGCTGCAAAGCTTCCCGCAGCCTCTGCAGCGCCAGTTTGATCCCTGGCCGCTGGAGAGGGTCCCACATGGCGCCAGACCTCTCCTGCAGCCCGCTGCTCCCCTCAGCAGTGTATTTCATCAGTCTGCCTGCTCTGCTCTCTGCTCTGACTCTGGTGAATTCTCTCACCCTCCTATGCTTCTGACTGTACCCAGTGCTTGTATAAATAAAAAAATAAATCTAAAAAAAAAAGGAAATTAAAAACATAATAATGTTTAAAAAAAAAAAGAAGAATCTAATAGGGTTTCCCTCCACCCCATGTTAGGTGAAGACACTAAAAATGGCAGGATGGCTTTCAGTGTTTTACTCCAAACCTACACATGACTAAGATGGTTGTGTTATTTGTTTCATTCTCCTTGTATGATTTTGACAATGTCCAAGCAATTCTCTTGCATTGCACTCTGCATACATTCATCCTCAGCAATATTCCTACCAAGCTTAACTTGTCAGTGTTCCCACCTGGTGCCTCTCCAAATTCACCTAAGCCCAGGGGACTCATGGCAACATGACACAGGTATCATCAGACATAATGAACTTCATCACCTGTAACTAAACACGCAAGGATCCCAGTCCAAATAAGTGGCACTTACTTATGTCCATTTAAGGCTGCATGGTGTAAAGCAGTGTAACCCGAACTGTCTGTGCAGTTCACATTGGGGCCTCTCCAGATGCTGCAAATAAAGCACAAGGCAGAGTTAACGGTTATGCAGAATCGTGCTTTGAAAACCAAAAAGAAGCTTGATAGCTCCAGAGCCAGCAGCAAGTTACATATGAAAATCATAGCCATGTAGAAAATGATTGTCATCTTTCATGCATTCCTCTTGAACAATAACTTCATTTATTTGAGGCAGAGAAATTATTAGAGAATATAACTACCTTCAGAAATGATTAGTGAATGTAGCCCCCTGTCATGCATTGAAATTTGGATTCAAAAATTCCCTCCTCCTTTATAACATTACTTAATATTAGGAGCAATTAACATTCAGTTACCATATTCCATACCAAAGAATCAAGATTTATGACACTTGCCTCCTCCTTTTTAACACACTCATTCTGAAATGGCAATGATTTACATAAGTTACAAGATATTTTTGCACTACGGAAAGAATGTAGACTCTGCTTGCTGTTCAATTGCTACCAAGAATTTATAGTATTTCATAGTTGAAAATATAATTGAAGATTATATATAATTGAAGATTTGGGCTGATGTAAATGGCAAGAAGATTCCAACAGTTTTGAAGTTATCATTATATTACTATACAATATATATTTTGGATATAATATGTGACTATATTTTTTTTCCAAAGACAAAGTTTTTTTTTATATTTTTATTTTTCCAAAAATAATGTTTGGTGTAAGTAAAAGACTTTTTATAACTTAATAAGGGAATTGTTAAGAAATTTTTTCCAGTTTATTCAAATTCTGGTGGTATTACCAAATAACATCTTTTGACACAAAATATGTAAATGCATACTACCAAAGTCTTATAGAGGGTCTCGATGTTAATGTGTTTTCCTTTCCATTTCCTTGCATTTTCCCCCATACCTTATTTTGCTTTCTCCCTAATTTGTTGTTTTCTAATAGTAAGTTTTAGTCTGTACATTATATAACCTACCCAGTATGTGACTATATTTTTTAAAAGTTCATTTTATACCTGATCATCACAAAGATCAGCTTTTGAAACAATAAGGCATGGAAATACATTTTCCAAAAGTGAACAAAAAAAGTTATCTGATGTTCATGATGACATTAACATCATCAAAACTAACATCAAATGACTAACTCACAAAATAATTACTGAAAGTCAATTGTATGTCATATATGAAGCCAGGCACTAAGAGTAAACAATCATTAATTCAAGGCTTTTCTTTACAAGAAAAGAGGCTAATAGAGAACACACACACATTAGCTAATAATTACAAACTAGTGAGGCAATGGAGGAACCAGAGAAACACAGGAATCTCTGAGAACGAATCCATATTCCAAATGGGAGATCATAACAGACTTAAACTAATGCAGGACCAGAAAAAGGAATAGAATGCATTGATCAAATAGTAACTGACAGGACAAATAAATCGGATTGCAGGGATCAGTTGAAGAAAGGAGGAAGTAGTACACTAGAATAACTCAGATTAGTGAACTATTCTGGTATACTATTCTAGTGTACTATCCTAGTGTACTAGCTCAGATATAGATGACTGGAAGGAAAATGACAATATTATTACGATATGGAAAGGGGATGTAAATCTGCTTAGGAGCAGGCAGCGCAGATGGAGAACAATGACTTCAGATTCAGAGACACTGAACTTTAAGTACCTGATATTGAGCTCAGCTACAAGGTCTGTGGGTTTCACTATTATCCCACCCATGGCAAGTTCAATAGCACAGTCAAGGTTGAGAATGGGAACTGAGACATCAATGAAAATCCAAGAACAAGATCCCACATCAACTGGGGTGATGCTGGTGTTGAATATGTTTTGGACTCACTGGTGTCTTCATTACCTTAGAGAAGACTGGAGTTCACTTGAAGGGTAGAAACAAAAGGCTCAACATCTCTGCCCCTTCTGCTGGTTCCCCTGTTTGTGATGGGCATAAGAAGTATGGCAACTTCCTCAAGATTGCAGCTGTGCCTTCCGTAGTACAAATTGCTTGGCCACCATGCTCAAGGCCCTCTATGACAACTTTGGCATCATGGAAGGACTCATGAATACAGTCCAACTCATCTCTGCCACCCAGAAGACAACGATTGGCCCTCGGGAAAATATACATGACAGCCATGGGGGTTCCCAGAACATTATCCCTATATTTACAGGCACTTCCAACTGTGGGCAAAGTCCTCCCAGAGCTAAATGGAAAGCTCACTGCCACAAGTGACTATCAATGTGACAGTCATGGATGTGTCCTGCATCTATGCTCTCTGGAGACCTGTCAAATATGATGACATCAAAAAGTTGATGAATCAAGCATCGGAGGGCTCCCTAAAGGAAATCCTAAGCTACACTGAGACTAGGTTGTCTCCAAAAATTTTAACAGTGATACCATACTCTTCTATCTTCAATGCTGGGGCTGACATTGCCCACAAAAACCCCTCTTTCAAGCTTAATTCCTAGTATGACAATGAATTTGGCAACAGCTATAGGGAAATTGACCCTATGGTCCACATAGCCTCCAACAAGTAAGAGATACCTGGATCATCAGTCCCAGACAGGACATGAAGGGAAGAGAGAGACTCTCAGTTGCTGGGGACCCCTTGCCCCAGTTTGATCACTCAACACACTGAGAACTCTCATCTTCCATGAAATTTCCATCCTATGCCCCCTGAAGAAGGGAGAGAATCCTACTTTGTCATGTACCACCAAAAAGTACACGTGCACGCACACACGCATACTAAAGATACTAGTCAATGCACTGGCTAGAAATGCAACATGATAAACAAATAAAAGGGATCAAGGTTGTAAGGAAAAAGGAAAATCTGCCTTTCTGTGAAGAAAACATAATCATGTACGTAGAGACATGTATGAAATATATCAAAGTAACTACTAAAATTAAAAATTGTATTTAATTAGGAGCAGCTGTGTGAAAAGTATAAAGAACTCTTCGACCTATTTTTGCAATACTTAGGCAAATGTGAATTTATTTCTAAGTAAAATATCTTTAAAAGAAAAGCTAATTCAAAAAAATTACTAAAAATTTTGCTGCAAATTCCTTTAAATGTCTATGTATTTCTTTAAGGAAAAGTAATAAAATGCAAAGGAAGAAAAGACAGATTGTGAAGAGTCTTGTAATAGTTTATGCTAAGTTACTATTCTGCAGGCAATTTGGAACTACAGAGTTATCAGAAAGATATTAAGAATGTTTCTGACATGACTGGGTCTGCATTTTTTTTTAAATAATAAATTTTATTTTTATATTCCCCATACAATTGCAGCCCCCCCCATTCTGACTCCAATCCCTCCCCTCCCGCCCCCGCCCTAAATATGTCTCTGGTTCATAGTTTTTTGTTGATTTTGATTTTCACTTTCTTATAGTTATTCATTTTCCTGGTCCCTTATTTAAGTTTTCTAGATTCCTGCTATGAGTGAGACCATCCGGTATTTTTCTTTTTCTTTCTGGCTTATTTCGCTGAGCATGATCCCTTCCAGTGCCATCCATGTTGCTGCAAATTGCATGTGTTTATCTTTTTTGAATGCTGAGTAATATTCCATGGTATATATGTACCACATCTTCTTGATCCAGTCATCTATTTTTGGGCATTTGGGCTGTTTCCAAAGCTTAGCTATTGTAAACAGTGCTGCTATAAACATAGGGGTGCAGGTGTTCTTTGGAATTGATGTTTCTGTGTCCTTTGGGTAAATACCTAGGAGTGGAATTGCTGGATCATATGGAAGCTCTATGTTTAGTAGGTCCAGAAATCTCCACACAGCTCTCCACAGTGGTTGGACCAGTTTGCACTCCCACCAACAGTGCAGAAGAGTTCCTTTTTCTCCACACCCTCGCCAACATTTGTTGTTGCTAGTTTTTTTAATATGTGCCATTCTCACTGGTGTAAGATGGTATCTCATGGTAGTTTTGATTTGTATTTCCCTGATGACAAGTGATGTTGAACATTTTTTCATATGTCTGTTGGCCATTTGCATTTCCTCTTCAGAGAAGTTTCTTTTTAGCTCTTCTGCCCATTTTTTGACTGGATTATTTTCTTTGTTGTTGTTGAGTCTCATCAGCTCTTTGCAGATTTTTGTGATCAGCCCTTTATCATTAATGTTGGGTGCAGAAATGTTCTCCCAGTTGGTGGGGTTTCTCTTTGTTTTTGTTATTGTCTCTTTTGCTGTGCAGAAGCTCTTTAATTTGATGTAGTCCCAGCTGTTTATCTTTGCCTTCACTATCACTACTTTGGGTGATGTGTCTGTAAAGATGTCTTTGATGTGCAAATCACGTAGTGTTTCGCCTATATTTCCTTCTATATATTTTATGGTTTCAGGTCTTATGCCTAGTTCTTTAATCCATTTTGAGTTGATTTTTGTGTATGGTGTGAGGTAGTGGTCAAGCTTCATTCTTTTGCATGTAGCGACCCAGTTTTCCAGCACCATTTATTGAACAAACTTTCTTTGCTCCAATGCATAGTCTTTGCTCCTTTGTCAAAGATTAGTTGACCATATATCTGTGGGTTTATTTCTGGATTTTCTATTCGATTCCATTGGTCTGTATGTCTGTTCTTGTTCCAATACCATGCAGTTTTGATGATTATGGCTTTGTAGTATAGTTTGAAGTCTGGGAGTGTGATGCCTCCATTTCCTTCTTTTTTTTTCAGTAGAGCTTTGGCTATTCAGGGTTTTTGGTGATTCCATATGAATTTCATCAGTAATTGTTCTATTTCTTTGAAGAATGACATTGAAATTTTGATTGGAATAGCATTGAATCGGTATATTGCTTTTGGTAGGATGGCCATTTTAATAATGTTTATTCTTCCAATCCATGAGCAGGGGATGTCTTTCCATTTCTTTGTGTCTTCTTCTACTTCCTTTAACAGTGTTTTATAATTTTCTTTGTATAGGTCCTTTACCTCTTTTGTTAGATTTATTCCCAAATATTTTATTTTTTTTGTTTCGATAATAAAAGGGATGGTTTTTTTTATTTCTTCTTCTTCAGATTTATTGTTTGTGTATAGGAAGGC